TAGAAGATGCGAGTATTGTTTGGAATCTAATTCCTGCGAGCCAATAAAAATTTGCAAAGATAAAGAAGGTGCAATCTTTATACTCTTAACAACTTCTGGGCAGTTATCAAAATCCATGAAAAGAATAAGTGTAATGTTTTTATTTGTTTTTAAGGCAAGGACATTGTCTGGTAGTTCGATTTTAGATTTAAACAATGAATTAAAATCATCAAATGACTTAATTCTGTCATTAGCCAAAAACTCATTAAAATTCCTTTCATCAGTTTTTGCTATCTTTTCATCTCTGCTCATTCTTTTAGATGAAGAAGCTTCGGACAAATATTTTGGGCAACCAGGAAATAATGTTGGTATCGAACCAGCCTTCAATTTCGGCCGACTTCTTTGAACTTTAACCAATTCATTATTTTTCCAATACTCATCATATCTTATAATGCACTCATCAGTGAAATGTTTTTCACACACAACACTTCGATCTGAAGGTACAAAATTTTCCCTGGGTATCTTCTTAATCCATAAATGTTTCACTGTTTCGTCTTTAGGGAATTGAAAAACTGAAACATATTCTCCAGTTTTATCATAATTTGATTTGCACGCAGTAACACAACATCTATCAGGCATTGTAAACGAATTAAAAATTGATAACAACGCCTAACTTTAAGCAAATAAGCATGTAACAGATTAATTAGAACTAAACAAGCATGTAAACTATTCAATATAAACAACGCACGCCACTTCCATTTAACTTTCACTTCGTCTTCGTTTCAGCGACGTTCGCCGGTCGGACGGAATTTGTGACGTCACAAGTAAACATAAGCTAGTTCTCCGGCCTTTCCCCTTCTAGTTGGCCATGTCTGCACTGCATTTCATAAACATTTTAATTCAGTATAATGAATTATTCATTCAGAGAAGCTTATCAGTCAGAAAAACATTCTTTTGGAATTAAATTATAATTAAGTAAGTTTCTGTAAAATGGTCTTAGCAACAGTATAATGCAGTAGTTGCAGACAATTGGCAGGTTTTTTTTTTCATCGTATTTGATGGCTTTGCACCAAATTTGTCTTTTTTTTCTCCTTTTGGTACACTAAAAAATAATTTATTTGGCGTGTTTAACGTAGGAACTATTGCACATGGTACAACGCAACACTTGTAGTTTTTGCTTGGAGCCATTTTTCAGAATTTATACTCAGCGCAACATATGCTTTCGCCGTTTCAAAACATGATGGGAGTCGTGGTTGTACTATATCGTGACGTCATCAGAGCGGATGGGAAACCTAGCAGCGATTTAGGAGGCGGAGCTAATCAAGCGATTTTAACTATTAATAACAAAAAATAGCTAGTCATCGCACCGGTCTGAAATTGGTCTCTATCTTTATAAAATGGCATGATGTTTCATTTTAAAACACAAAAGAAGAACATGCTGGCTCCTCATTGTTTAAGACTTTAGAAATACTCTTGTACAATTTTACAATTCTCTTTAATTTGTACTTAGGATGCTGGGTCCAAAATCTTTAAAAAAAAGCTGTGTTTTTTTATTTATTATATGTCAATGGGTGCATTAAGAAAAAGAATTTGAAAACAATTACAAAATTCACAATATTTTTCTTTTAGGATTCAAAATCTCTGGATCAAAGTTCAAGTTCCCCACCTGATTCTTCATTTTCCTCTTCAACTAGTTTTAAAGGGCGTTATGAAAATGGATTTTCTCCCCAGATGCGATCAATTTCCTTTGCTGAAGAAATAAAAACTGCAGTGTTAGAATGGAATTCAAAAGGTTTAACTTTCTTACATACATATTTATTTTTTCACAAATTCCAAATATTTCAAACCTTTTTTTTACTTATTTTTGAAAACAATACTAGCACTAGGAATTGGCCTAAGTAGTAAAACTATTTATTTTCTGTTTTGTAACTAATTTTTTTTAGTATTGTTTTTTTCGTATGCTTCATCATGTTATAAGGAGAGTTTTTATCAGTTTCTTTTTAAATAAGTAACCCATAGCAGTAACTTTCTTATAGTTTTGACTAACTAGGAAACACTCTGCAGTGTTATGAAAATTTTTGTCAAACAATCCTCTGTTCAGAAATTTTTTTTTATCTAATGCCTGTCTATTGCTAGGCAGTTGAAAAGAGTATAAAAATGTTTTCCTTATGAATATAAAATTTTCCCTATTGTTACTCTTGTCTTTGAAAAATTTTCAAAGCTAATGTGTTAAAAAAATTATAATTCCTTTTAAATAGTTTTCAAAATGCTAATATACAGTGAAATAGATTTTATCTACAAATAAAGTACTTATGTTATCTGTGATAATTGATTTTAAATCTTTAATATAAATTTTATTGAAAAATTATATTTTTATTTCCTTTTTGTAGTGGGTGGTTATAGTGAAAATAATTTATCACGGAGTCCACAAAGTTTAGATAATTTGGAACAAGTTTCAAATAGTAGCTTAGATAGATTTATTGAACAGCACCAAGTTGTCCCTCCTAGTTATCAGCATGCAACTGGTGAAAGTTTCGGTTATCCAAACTGCCTTCCAGTAACACCTTTAGATAGAGATGATGATTTATCTCCTCTTGCTGCAAGTACACCATTGCCTGTTGAAATTCCTCCAAAGAAAAGGAACATGATTCAGAGTGATAGACTGTCAGCAAATTTAGGTATGTAAACTAATATAACATATTAATGTTGAGGAATGATTAGTGCTGACACTGTGCTGCTATTTTGAAAAACAGTTGATTATCTATATCTACATATATATATATATATGAATATACATTTGCGTCATCCATATTTTCATGTGCTAGCTATTGAGACCAGGTTAAGAAAAAAAATAACAAACAGAAGCTAAAAATTTTTATTAAAAAGTATAATGCCGATTATATAATTATTTAACAACAAATTTTGGTAAAATAAGTCATTAACTAATTGCAATCGGAAATGCCAATTCATTTTTTAATAGTTTGTGAATACATTGCAAATCTTCATTTGTTGATTTATTCACACTCGTCATCAAAATTGTTATATATCAGCTATTGCGACTAGGTTTCAAAAAATTGTAAGAAATACAATTAGATTAATTGCATTGTAAATAAATATATTATAATAATATTTTATTTTTTCAGTAAAAAGTAAACATAATTGCATTTAATTATCAAATATGAACTTCAGAGTCATAGGTGATATTTTAAAATGTTATATAAATAACATATATAAGTACAATTTCATTAGAAATATAATGCAAATTGTTTATAATTCTTGATTTATGGACTTAATTACATTTCTGTCATCTACGTTTGAAAATATCAGCGATTGCGACGAGTTTGGGAAAATAAAAACAGTTCTTTTTTTTAATAAAAATCTAGTTTTGGACACTTTTTTTGAAGGAAAAAAAAATTCTGCATAATCTGCTCACGCTTATGATTTATTTTTATTCATTGCTATTTTTAAGAAATTTTTTTTTTTTTTTTTTTTTTCAAAAANTTCATTGCTATTTTTAAGAAATTTTTTTTTTTTTTTTTTTTTTGCAAAACATGCTTAGTTTGAAAATATCAGAATGTATTACTTGACAACTACGATTATTGCATATTTTGCAGCTTTCTGAATTTTTTTTTGCTGTGTAGAGAATCTGTATTTTAGAGCTGTGTAGAGAACTAAATGCCTAAAACAATTTTTTCAATCCAGCAACATCAGCCGTGTGATTTTAATTATTCTTTTTTAATAAAAATATTTTTTTCTTTTGCTAAACTTTCGATACAGTTATCTTATTACTTCAATCGCCAGTCTTATTACTTCAAATACTTGAGAAGAGAATTCAACATTTAAATTTAATATTTATTTAAATAAAATAGCTTACGGAGGTGTGTAAGTATTAAAATAGGTTTTTTCTTAAAATTTCTTAATCTTTTTACACACATGGTTATATTGGAAGAGTATAAAAGCCACAACGTTATGTTATTTTCATATTTTTCATGTTATTCACGTTGCTCGTGTTATGCATTCGTATCTAACCTGTTCCTGATACCAATCAAAATAAAGATACCTATAATTTCTTTTATGACATTAAATATTTTTTAATCAAATGTCCCATGTATCCTAAGAACTGGGATTAATTACCGGAATGAATTATAATTTGTAACATAAATTTATAATAAAACTAATTAGCTTAAAAAAACAAATACGTATATTTTGTTAGTGATGTATATCAGGTATTTATTAGAAATAAATTTCTTAAAATTCTAGTACACTAGTGCCTATATGAAATAAGAAAATGTGGTATAACTACCACTAATAATATTAAATATCAATTTAGTAGTACATAAGACTTGTTAAATCGATTCTATATAGAGCAGTGGTTTCCAACTGGCGGCCCGGGGGCCGCACCAGCTCGTGAAGCTTTTTTTTGTGGCCCGCGAACTAAAATATATTTGTAATTTTTTTGCGGACAATTTTCGTAAAAAATCTATATGGGTTTAAATACTTTTCTCATTAATAAAAACCTAATTTCTTCGTTTCTGTGAAATTTATCATACCAACGGTCCTAAAAAAATTATTTCTCAGGTTTTGCATCCAAGGAAATATTTATTCGAATACAAAAATAATCGTGTATGTTGCTCTTTTTTCTTTAATTTTTGTTGTATTTTGTGAATATAATTTAGCATGTGTGTATCAGAAATTTTATCGAAGAAATTCTCCGATTTAACATTTTGAAACCACTCAATTCGGACGAAAATATTTACACACACATTTGTAAATTTAAAATGTAAATATCTATTCTCTGTTGGTTGCAGCAGACAAACCTCAATTTTCAATAAAAAGGTTGGTATTAAAGCTTACATAGTAGCACACAAAATGTTCAAAGTTTTATATCTTAACAATTAGATATCTGTTGACATTAATTGTTTAATACATGGGTGCACATTAAAGTTACTGTAGCCCGAATTTTTTAATATGCAATTAAATATTTTTAAAAATCTACTTCTTATTTTAATTTGTAATTCAATACTTTTGTTTTGTTCAACTTGGTAAAAATCTGACAGTAATATTTAATGTTCCTTCAAACATAAAAGAGTCCTTTATAAAATTTTGATAAAGTTGCTGCCCGTCATTTGATTTGTGTTTCTAATTGTGGCCCCCGGCCTCGTGTAAGTTGGAAACCCCTGATATAGAGGTACCCTTTGAGAGATGAAAGATGACGTAGTCGATAATAAACTCATCACATTAGTGACCTCCAGACGTGATATGAACATGCCAATATCGATAGATGGTCCCCATTAAACAGTTGATTTACACACCAAATCCGGTGAAGTAAGAATGATTCTCACGGCTAATAAATGAAATTGAAAACAAAAATAATGGGTGAATTGATATAAATAAAATAATAAATTAATACATAAATAAAATAGCATTAATCGACAAGTGATATTCATTCATCGGATTCTATCGCAGATAAAAATTCCGGAAGTGGAGTAATGCGGCGTAATTACCACTTATAATATCGCATATTAATTCAGTAGTATCTAAGACTTGTTATCTCGATTTTATATTGAGGTACTGTTTGACAGACGAAGGTTGACATAGTCGATTCAAACATACTCCACAAAGCTTTAACATTATTTTCATTTCAACATCTTGAAATCGATGCTGTTATATGTGCTTAAAATCCAGCTAGTTACAAAAGCCCTTAATAGTTTTCTTTATTATCAATTCACTAAGTGGTATAAGTTATAATTTTATATAATTTCATCAAATGAGTAAATTTCGAATAGTTAAACTAACGTCACAAAAAATTTCTTCGGAACTTTTCTTAGTTAGGACTTAGAATAATTTTCCTAGACAAATTTGATTTATTTCAGGGTTCAAGATAAGCAGGTGATGAGGTTACAAAGATTTTACTTGCTTTTAATACGTGAGATAAATACGGTTCTTGTTAACTTGCTTGAGAACTTGACAAATAACCCTCGTAAGACCGCCCTTGACTACCAGACAGGTGGTCAACTTACTAGGGTGATTAATTTGATATATTTTACTGAACTGTACTATCTATGATAAAAAGTAAAAACAAAGCAGAACATAGGTTTTGAACAAATACATTTGTTTATAGATTCAGACGTTTCTACATATTTTTCTTTAAAAATCTCACAGAGAAAATCATAATCATGTTGTTTAAAAAAATGTATACATATGCTTTGTATTTAAAATCAACATATTTAAATTAATTATTTTAAACAAAGTGTTTCAAACTTAACAGCACTTATCGAGGTAGAAATGTAGTAACTTAAACTTTGTTTTATTTATATTCTTATAATAATGCGTGTAGGTCATTAGTACTTTCATACATCACCTACTGCGGATATGATGAAGTACGTCACTGAATTTTGTATTATTTGTATTCTATTTGTCGTATATCAGCAATAGCTTACTTGCAAGTGACGTAATGTGGCTATCTCAATCCTCATTGGTTGTTCAAACGCGACATTTATGATAGCAACTGTTCTTTCTATTTTATTTCGAGTAAGCCAAGCCCGCCAATCATCAACTCTTTTAAGTGACACATTCTAAATTTTTTCACAGAGATTTCAATTCTTTCACACTATATATTTCCACAGAGACTTAACAAAAATACAGACAGGAAGCTATGCGGAACATGAACAAACTAATTATGCAAAGAAGTTTGGCAGTTACTCAAAACAAAAATATATCACGATTAGAATAAAATACATAAGCAAACAATAAGTCTAAGTTAAGTAAAAAAAGTAGATGAGATATTTCAACTAATTCGATGTGCGACACAGCTCTGTATTTAACTAACTTAACGATACTTAACATTCTAACTTATGTATAGATAAACTTATCTTTACTACGCCATTTTGTTGAGAAAGATTTGCTGATGTTATAGGTCACATGTGTGGGTATGGGGGGGTCTTCTTCTCAAAGTGTAAGAACCCAATTGTATCACTGATAAACATTTGTAATTGTTTATGCAGACAGAAGTTGAAAAATTACACCAATCCAATTATTATTGTTTGAAATTAAAATAATTAGATTTTATGTAGTTCAAAATAGGAGTATTATTACAATTTGAAATACAAAACTTCGAATTATTGTAAAGATATACTTAATGATCACCATGCTGCTGTCTGTTATGATAATGATAATGAATGTTCTGAAAAGGAATGGCCATCCCTCACGCTTTTATTATATTTATTTTCCTATCAAAGTTGACGTCAAGAAAAACGCGAGCTTATAAAATTAAGATCTCGAGGGGAAAGCTTTTTTTTTTAAAGCAATAGTCATCATTTAAAGCACAGGGAAATTTAAAAAAAAAGAAGTTGAAAACAGCACTTAAAATTGCAATAACTTTTGAACAGATAGAAATTCCGGAAAAAATGTCATCAGGTTCAAAAAGGAAAATAACCTTTTCAGCAAATGCATTTCTGCAAATTGCAGAGAGTCCCACGTGGTATTTTCTACTACAGCAGTGTTTTCCAAACTTATCACTTTTGTGTACCCTTTCTAAATTTTTCGTAACGCTTTGTACCACTAATAAAAATATGAGTGCATTTTTTACCATAAAAACATTGCACAAAATTTAAAAATCACAACTGGCTGTTGACACCACTCATTATTAACTGCTAACTCTGCAAAAAATAGCCAATAGAAAATAGAAAAATACTTAATCGTAAA